CTGGTGCAGATGTTAATATTCTTTCCACCAAACATCTTGATAGCTTATCTCTACCTAAGTGCTTTGAGGTTCAACCATCAACAACCAAGCTTGAGGCTTTTTGTGGGTTCAAGATAATCACAGTGGGGGAAGTAACCCTGCCAGTTACAGTGGCTTCTAAATTGTACAACATCACATTTATTGTGGTTGATTCTGAAAAGGCGACACCAATAATAGGACTTAATTCATCTATTGCAATGGGCCTCATCAAGAGAATATCTATTGATGCAGTAAGCAAAATACCCGACGTACAAACGCTGGTTGAAGAGAATAAAGATGTATTTGTAAACCAAGGTTGTTTTCCTGAAGTACTGAAACTGAAACTTAAGGAAGGGGCTGTTCCAAGAATACCTAACAAATTAATGGACCGTCTTAAGCAGAAGCTGGATTCTTTGGTATCAAGAAACATAATTACAATGGATCAGTACATAAAATCTACAAATGAAGACGAATCCTTATACAAAGTTATGCAGTTTTATCAAGAAGGATGGCCCAGCAAAGTTTCGCCGAATAACCATGAACTAATGCATTATTTTAGAATACGAAATGACCTAACAGTTCAAGATGGACTAGTGTATTTTAACGAAAGGTTGATAGTGCCACCATCTATGCGAAGATATACTTTACAGACACTCCATGAAACTCACTTGGGATTCAACAAGTTAAACAAGAAAGCTCAAGAACTTGTTTACTGGCCTGGATTAGTTTCAGATTTGAAAAATCTTATTGACAGCTGTGCTACTTGCGCTAAGTTTATGCGAGCAAAATTGAAAGAGCCACTTCAACCTCATGAAGTTTTTGACATGCCTTTTTACAAGGTAGCAGCAGACATAGCCGATTTCGACGATCAAAGTTATTTAGTGTTAATAGATTATTACTCAAGATGGATTGAAGTTGAGCGTATTCGAGATAAAAAAGCAACTACTGTCATTACGGCATTGAAGCCAATTTTTGCTCGTTTTGGAATACCAAGTATTTTTGTAAGTGACAATGTCCCATTTAACTCTCAAGAATTCATTGACTTCAGTAAATTGTGGAAGTTTGAAGTAAAGTTTACTAGTCCCCATTATCCTCGCAGTAATGGACTCGCGGAAAAAGCAGTAGGCATAGTTAAGTCAATGTTGCAAAAGTCAAAGCATGAGAAAACAGACTTCAGTTTATATCTTCTAAATTATCGGTCATCTCCAGTTGCGAATCTGAGGTATTCTCCTTCGCAACTACTTCAAAGTAGAGTTCTGAACACTAAGTTACCTGTAATACCATCAAAACTTAAACCACGGATTATTGATGATAAAGAAGTGACAAGCAAACTTGGCCAGGGTATGCAGTATAATAAAACAGCACTAAATAAAGCCAGTGTTTTCATGAAGGGACAAAAAGTATTAATCAGGAATGTTTCCAACCTTCAGTGGGAAGAAGGTATAATAGTTGATGTGCTGGGAAACAGATCATACATTGTTGAAGTAAATGGGAGAAAGTTGCGTCGTAATTCGTGGTATATTCGACCCTTCATTGAACGTACCAGAACCAGGATATTCAAAGCTCCAAAAAAATTAGATTTGTGAAAAGGGGCATGTTTGGTTAAAAGTATTCCTTTATCTGTGTATAATCATATGTCATATTATGTTATTATTGTTATTGTTTACATTTGAAGTTGTACACAGATTGAGTTCAGTAATAAAGATACTTTTGTCTATTAAACAAGGTCTTACCATGAGTACTACGGTAATAGCTTATTCCCTATAGGGGAAATTCGCAAAAATTAGTAAATTGTACATAAAATTGTAAATTTATAATTCCCATGTTATTCTTATGGAGAATAAAGTTAACCGTTGTAGTTTGCTTGTTTATGGATATATTTTGATTGAACTTAGAAAATTTATTTATTTTAGACTACCGGTAAGCTATGAATATTTTACCAAAAACATACTTTATTACCTGCCATGTAACAGCAAACCTAGGTACTCGTTAAACCTAATGTTTTTTAAATGGATCTAAGTGGAAATCCAATCAGGAAAATTGATATTCGATTAGCTTGCAGGTTTGCTGTGGAGGGAGCATTTATTTTTTACTGTGGTCTATACCATTAGTTCTTTAACAGTTTTGCCAACAGTTATTCAGAGTCCAGAATTTGCCTTTAGAGCTGTTTTGTTACTTCTGTTATATGTTGTCAGTACCTATCTAAAGCTGTTCATATTTTGAAATTTTCAACCAAAAGAATCATATTGTTGCCCTTTGTTATTAAACCTTGTAACTTTTGTATTCTATTATTGAATATCATAGAACCCACCTTATTTAGTTGAAACAGCTGTCAAGATTCTTTGACGAACCTACAATAACCTTACCCTTTAAATACGTTTTGTGGATAATTGTAACAATTAAATCTGAAATAACATAATGGTAGTAAATTAACGGAAAAGGCCCTTTAAATGTTTTAGCCTACTACTGCAAATCTTTAGTGATAACTGCCCACTCTCCTGTATTATGTCATGTTTGAAATCATATATCAGTTGGCTTTATATCAGAGTTGGGTTTCCAAGCATGTCGGTAGGTTTTAAATAATACCAGCTAAAAATGCTGATATAGGTCAGACAGGAAAATCAAATATTATGCACCTTATATGTTGATAGCTTTGACTGCAAAGAGATTTATAGAGAGAGACTCACCTTTGGTTTGCTGGGGGCTTCACCTCTCAGGTCCCCTTTTTAGTTATAGAGAATTGTAGGAAATTACCTTGGGGACATCTTGAAATTGAAATATTGTTTTACTGAGTAAAATGCCAATAATAAGTAGGTAAACACTGAGCACTGCAGAAGTAGGTAAAAAACTGTTAAAGGAGTCCTTATATTTATCTATTTAAGGGAGGGGGGTCATGGTTGCAATTTTAAATTTCATATTTCTCAAGTATTAGCCCTCTTAGCATTTCTCAAGTCTCTATTGTACATTTTGAAGTTATTAACACAATATAAGCTGCACATTATCCAAAAGAGGTTTTATATTTGTGAGGGGGGGGGTTGGCAATAAAAGGTTACGTTAAAGATTCAAAGATTTTGAGTTTACGTTCTAAGATTCAAAGATTTTGAGTTTACGTTCTAAGATTCAAAGATTTTGAGTGTTAAAACTTAAGGCCAATAATCCTGCTAAATATCAAAGTATTTTGCCCATGATAATTTAGTCCAATGAAGTGTTTTTATTCAGAAATGTAGAAGTGCGATTTTGGGGGGAGGGGTTAAATTGTGTGATATTTGATATAAATTAATAAATTTTGGTTTTAAAAATAAGACCAGTACCTAACTGTAAAAGATGTCAAGTCCTTAGCACAATGAAAGTGGTTTAAGAATTGTTAGGGGGTTAGAGCTCAATTACTGTATTTGTTGGGAGGTACACATTTCTTAAATATTTTGGGTTAGTACCTCAGTCTAGCCATCCTACCAGATGCCAAATACCCAGCATGTGTGTTGTTGATGGGTGACAGTAATAGACCATATAGAATAGAATAGAATAGAAAGTGCTTTATTAAATACATATTATGTACAGTAGGCTACATGAAATGGGTACGATAAATTGATTCATGCACATACAACAATGGTCATACGACCGTCTGCTGGGTTGGCATAATGTCCTCATAATGTCCATTCAATATTAATGAAATAAAATTGTTCCACATAATCAACATACTAAGCACTAAAACAAAATAAAATAACACTTCTTAATGCAACACATATACATGCATATATACACATACACATGTATGCATACATACACATATATGTATACTCTAAACATATTTTAATGCAAAATTTTAAAAATTAAATTCCCTAACTAACTCCCATCTACGTTTCCATGCAATTTTAAAAAAAAACTTAAACTAATAATTAATTAGTCTAAAACTTAACAGTAATAGACCATTGCACACAGTGACAATAAGAAACAATTTGATTTTTTTCTATTGTCATTTCAAATATTTTTGAGGGGGTGAAAATTTTTAAATGTTAGGCTACTTTTGGGTTTTTAAGTTGGGAGCATGAAATGTACAAATATTTGTCCGAAAAGCAAGTTTAAAAATTAAAAACATGTGGAAAATCCAAGAAATTTTAAGAATGTAGGGCGTTTTTTTTTTGGGCAAATGGGTGAGATTTTCGGAAAACGCCCAATAGCATTTTGTATAAAAAATGTTATTCCTGACCATGAAAATTCTTTCAAATATTTGCTAGCTCTTAAACGTTATTAACTTAGTTGTAGGTAGCCATAAAAAAATGTACTTTATTAAATAAAAGAGTATTTTAAGGAATTTTGTTTTGGGGGTTAAAATTTAAAAATGTGACTTTTGGAAATTTAACCGTTAAAAACGGATGGTGTAATATATTGGTAAATTTCAAGTCTCAAGCTTGTTTTTAGGCTGAGAAATGGTTTCTTATCCCCATTCCAAAGTCAGAAACTTCCAATGTTATTTCCTATAAGAATAACGTGAGGGAAATTCTAAATTTAAGGGGATTAAAATTAAAAAATGCACCTTTTTAGGATTTTCCTTCAGAAACTTTCAATGTTATTTCCCATAAGAATAACATGGGCGAAATTATAAATTTAAGGGGGGTTAAAATAAAAATTGAAACATTTGTATCCCGAGTGATTGAGTGATTTGGTTACACATGAGGCTGTAGTTATAGAGATATGACCAACCTCTATGTAATGTTATAACTTTGACTATTGATGTTATACCTGAATTACCTATATTTATTTGTGCTATTCAGTATTGTATCTATACAAAGTTGTGAAGCATGCAAAATAAAAAATATAGGTTTACAACAAGAAGTTTTTTTACAAACTCCATTGTTTTTAATGTTAATGCGATTGAGGATAGGAGAGTTTAAATATTAGTAAATTAGCTTCAATTTTTAGTTAGTCTGTTAATTTAATTCAGGTAGGACTCAGAAAACATTTTAATTGGCCATTTGTTCTAGGGGTCAGTTGTGATTCATGTCTAAAAGGCAACTTTAGAGGACGACGTTACAAGTGTCTGATTTGCTATGATTACGATCTGTGCGCAACATGCTATGAGGCAGGTGCCACTTCCACCCGCCACACGACAGAGCATCCAATGCAATGCATTCTCACTCGCTCAGACTTTGGTAAATTTATTTAAACTTATAGCTAAGCTTATCTTATAGACTCCCTTTAGAATGAAACAAAAGTTGTGAACAACCACAGGATTTGAACTGGAAATGGAATTGAAACAAAGCAAAGTAGTAGGTAGGTATGATTGAAAACGAATTATGGTGTTACCTTCATTGAAAACTAATGATTGTAAACGACAACAACATAACTTAAACCATAGAAAAATAAAGCCCTACATAAACATTACAACACTCATAACAAAGATGAAATCATAAAGAAAGATAACAATGAAATAAAACGTGGTCATTCTTACCCTTCCACACATGCGTGTATAAGGTGCATTCAACAAGTTGCTATGATTACTGATCACCCCAATCGTATACCACTACTCCATTATGTCTTCATCAGCCCCTTGGCTAAAATCTATTGTCGTGACAGTGCATAACGGACAGATGAACAAGGCGTAGACGATTGTCAATGCCAACATTGACACCATCTTGCATCAACATTTCTTTGTTCTACTTCTACTTTATTTTCTACAAATAAACTGTAATGTCTCAAACACATTAATTTGGGAGCCAACTGCATTTACATACCCATTTGGGCCAAACCAGTTGAATAAAATAATGCATTTTATTACACAGATCGGAAGTAATTTTTCTTGAGGTAGTGTGATTTTGTAACAGTTATACAGGGTGAGTTTTAATTGTCCCCCCCCCCCAACTTTTTTCTACATTTTTTCAAATATCAATCCCAGACCACTTTCAAACATTGTTGGGTAGTAAGTACTTTATTTTGACAAGGTGGTCATTTCCAGCCGCCATCTTGGATCCGCCATATTGGATGCAAAATATTTTTTTTCAAATGTAAAGGTAGGGTTGTAACCCATTATTTCGAACTAGGTTTTTACCCTGATTGCAATGCCACAAACAGTTTTTAAAAATCTTGATCCATTCCAAAGTTATGAGGGGTTTTTAAAACTTTATTTGTAGTCCATTTTAACATTGTGCATTTACAAACCAAGACCATAATCTCAAAATAGTGCTAGATAAAGATGAGTATACACTACCAGTCATTGTCGACTTATTTTCACTTGGTTATGGCAGGTATATTTTTTTCGGCCACCATCTTGGATCCGCCATTTTGAAATGTGATAAATTATTTTAAATATGAAGGGGGTGTTGTGACCCATCATTTCGAACTAATTTTTTAAGCTGAACTCAATTCCATGATCCGTTTTTCATTTTCATATTTTGATTTTGAAATATTGAAATTTTTAACAAAAAAAATGCAATATTTCATAACTTGATAACAAAAAATGGATTGCGGCATTGAGTTTAGCTTAAAAAATGAATTCGAAATTATGGCTCACAACACCCCCTTCATATTTAAAATAATTTATCACATTTCAAAATGGCGGATCCAATATGGCGGCCAACAAAAAATACATCAATCATAACCAAGTGAAAATAGGTCGACAATGACTGGTAGTGTATGTTAAAATGGGCTAAAAATAAAGTTTTAAAAACCCCTCATAACTTTGGAATGGATCAAGATTTTTAAAAACAGTTTGTGGCATTGCAATCAGGGTAAAAATCTAGTTTGAAATAATGGGTCACAACCCAAGCTTTACATTTGAAAAAAATTTTGCATCCAATATGGCGGATCCAAGATGGCGGCCGGTAATGACCACCTTTTCAAAATGAAGTACTTACTACCCAACAATGTTTGGATGTGGTGTCTGGGATTGATATTTGAAAAAAATGTAAAAAAAAGTTGGGGGGGGGGGGAACAATTAAAACTCACCCTGTATAACTCGATTTAATTTGATTCTGGCCAAATGTTTATTTATGTTACCGGTATGCTTAGTATCTGAGATTTTTTTATACCGGTACCCGTCCCAAAAAAATAAAAATGTTTATTTTTACACTTTAAAACATCCTATATATATATATTAAAATTAAAACGAAACAGGGTTTTTTTATTTCACGATTCTGAATCAACCACTTGACGGGTTTTTATGATTTTTGTGTTAAAAGAAAGATAATTTTGAGAACTAGGGAATGTCGAAGCCATAATTTTAGTTTAGGGTTTCAGTTTTTTAGAAATTAAGTTTTAATTTTCAAAAAGTCTAGCAGCCGACGGATGAGTTAAAGTAGTTTTAGTAGTGGTTTAACTAGCAGCTGGTTCTAACTGTCATTGAAATGTTTACGTTACAAGTTGTTTGTATACAAAAATCGTCAGAGTTTGCCTACACACTATTTTACTTTAAAATACAGATTATTTTCTACCGTAAAAGATCTATATGTTATCAGGAGATTGTGTAATTTTGAACTAAACATTTTAAACGTATAATCAAGTTTTGTCATAAATGCAATCCGTCTAGCCTAAGTGTAAGTGCTTAATCCTTTAAGATATAAGTGGTTTACTTGTTGATACATCTTTTTCTAGATGTTTGAATATAAGTATGACTGCATACAGTACACATTTTATTCATAATGAAAATGTCAACCGGTGTAGTAGGTCTCCAGAAAACTTACGAGTAAGCTGCAGGGTGTCAGTAGAAACCAAAATCGATTCATACCATATCATAACTATCCCAGTAGTACTGTATGATTCAGAAACTTAAAAAAGGGGTACATTCCAAAAGTAGACCAAAAGGCTCGGATCTCGGATGGGCTGGGAAAGGCTTTGCATGGCGGAGAGAAGATACTTCAACTTTTAAAAGTGTATTCCAAGGAGTACTACAAGGTAGACGACCACTTGGAATACCAAGTAATGAAAGACATCTTCAGATTGGTATCTTCCTGTCTTCCTGTCATCCAGAAATGGCAGGGGATAGAAGAGAATGGGAGGCCAGGATCATTTAGAGGTTTCAGTGGCCAAGGTGGTAAAATAAGGTACGGTAAGTGATAGTAGAACGTCCTGTTTTCCAATGTACGTACTCGGACAACTAGCACATTTTATTTTATATACACCTGATTGGTCAGCTTTATTTTTATTAATCTTAGGTTTTAACTTATTTATAACTTTATTGCTGGTTCTGAAAGCTAGTTTAATTCCATGCTTTTTCAACTCATTCTTTAGGCATTATTATATTATATTCATCAATTCAGCTCAGGGGCTAAACCATGTCTATTGATAAATTAAATTGATCGAAACAAACAGTTTCCGCCCCCTATTATGGGTATTTTTTCACGTTCCGTGTTGTTTAAACCTAAAATTAGGACTTCCCTTTAAATCATTTCGCATGAAAACTAATACACAATTCAAAAATACAAAATTTACACCAAAACATAGGCTACAAATAATGTTTAAATACATTTGAAATTAAATAACGCATTGTGGTATTGTAAGTTAACAAAATAATACACTTTTCCCTGTTCGATATCGTGTCTGTTTTTAACAGAAACTCCTAGATTAATAATTATATACTGAAAGTGGGGTTATAAAAATAATAACAAATGTCTGACAACCACAGCTGACAAATCACTTATAAACTGTTTATTAATTCTTCAATTAGAATTGTATCTGGATGATTTGACCGTATGTGGAAAGGATCAAAAGGATCATGATGAGAATCTAAGAACATTTTTAGATGCTGTAACTAAGTATGGACTTGTAATCAACAACGAAAAGAGCAAGTTCAACCAGTCTTCAATAACCTTGTTGGGACATTTAGTTTCCCATAACTCTATTCGACCTGATCCAGATCGGCTAGAATCTCTACTGTCACTTCCTGTGCCCAAAGACCAAGTTTCACAAAGCGAGTCCTAGGATTTTTCGCTCATTATTCAAAATGGATACATCGGTTTTCTGATAAAATAAGAAACCTGACACAAGTCAATTCTTTTCCTTTGTCACAGGAAGCGGTTGCAGATTTTGAAGCCCTCAAACTTGACATTGCAAACTCAGTAATTACTTCTAGGAATGCGCAAGAGCCACTGGTAGTGGAGACTGACGCATCTGACATAGCCGTGGCAGCAACTTTAAGTCAAGATAATCGGCCAATCGCTTTTTTCTCACGGACTCTAAACAAATCTGAGAAGCTGTATTCAGCTGTTGAAAAAGAAGCCGTTGCCATTGTCGAAGCCCTTCAAAAATGGAAATCATTTCTTATCGGAAGAGACTTCAGATTATACACGGATCAGCAAGCTTTATCATTTATCTTTGACAAGAGGCATACAAGCAAAATCAAGAACGATAAAGTTATGAGATGGCGACTAGAGCTAACACCTTATCAATATGAAATAGTGTACCGACCTGGTAGGGAGAATGTAAAGCAGATACGCTCTCTCGGGCATGTGCGGTTCGCTGGGACAATGCTAAGTTGTTTGAATTACACAAATCTCTCTGCCATCCGGGAGTCACTCGAATGTTTCATTGGATTAAAACTAAAAATCTAAACTACACTCTGGATGATGTAAAAAGGATGACGTCAGCTTGTCAAACATGTGCAGAAGTGAAGCCAAGATTTCACCAATTCCAAGGCAAATTGATAAAGGCAACCACTCCCTTCGAACGTCTAAATATTGACTTTAAGGGCCCTCTTCCATCAACAACCAGAAACCGTTACCTTTTAACCATGGTGGACGAGTATTCTCGTTTTGTATTTGCTTACCCCTGTAAGGACATTAGTTCAGCAACAGTTATCAGATGTTTTTCAGATCTATTTTTTATGTTTGGAGCCCTGTCCTTTGTACATTCAGATAGAGGTTCATCTTTCATGTCGCGAGAGCTGACGGACTTTCTTCAAAAGTACGGAGTAGCTACAAGTCATACGACACCTTATAACCCTAGAGGGAACTCTCAGATTGAACGCTTCAATGGAACAATATGGCGAACCATCCTACTAGCTTTGAAAAACCACAACCTGCCAGTTGCTGCATGGGAAGAAGTATTACAGGAGGCACTTCACTCAGTCAGATCTCTTTTATGCACTGCAACAAATTGCACACCGCACGAAAGATTCTTTATACATAGCAGAAGATCTACCAATGGAGACTCCTTACCA